TTGGCTGAAATCGGTTCGAACGGCAGGGCTCACGGAGGGTGTCGGCTTTCAGGGTAAACAGTTACTGCAATAGGGTTTTCGGTCTTGTAGGGTGTAATGATGTTTAGGGTTTCCAGGCAGTGTGTATAGGGCTTATGTGGTTCGGGCTTGGCCACAACGAAATCAAGCTGCCGATAAGCTCAGCGCTCTCTTCAATGATCAGCCGCTGGAGAACATCATGCGAGGGCACGTTTTTCTCCTGGCTTTCAGACTGGCTGGACCTTGAGCTTCTTGGTCGTAGCTGATGCAAACTGGCGCTCTGGAGCTATGTGGGATTGTAAGATTTCGATGACTTTCCACTGCGACTATGGGGAGAAATATGCCGGAGCTGCTGTGGCCGTGTTCGTGGCACGGCTTGCTGAGGATTGGGACGTTTTGGGGAATACAGGATGTTTTCGGTTTCAAGTGGCTTGGGGTACAAGGCAGGGTTTACGCTACTAGCTCAGGTTCAGGGATTGCGGGTTCAGGTCCCTAAACCCTAAACCTCCAGTCGACGCTCTCCTTGACTTGCCTTTTGTGGCGACAGGCACGGCAGTTCCAACTGCCCTTGAAGTCGTTGCCCTTGGGGTCCTGGAGTAGGTTGTAGGCTGAGGCAGCATTGCGCGGATTCCATGTACCATAGAAGCCAAAACAACTTGCCCATGTCGCAGCATGAACCGAAAAACCCAAACCCACGAGCCCACAATTCCCTGAAGTGTCAACTCTAAGCTCCGAATCCTACACGATCGGACGAATCCTTGTGGCCACAGAGGCTGCATGCGAAGGCCTGCCGCAAATCGGGGCCGAGGAAGATCTTGAAGGTAGCTTCATCGATTCAGTCTAGTCTGGAGACCGCCGTTTGCTGCATATAGCCTGAAATACTAGCTAGCTTAAGCTCCCAGTCCTTTCAACCTATAAACCTCAGACCCTGCAGTTCCTGGCGCACCCGGAAACTTACCAGTTTCGGCTCGCCTCCCAGCACGGCTGGCAGTAGAAGCCACAATCCTTAACCAGCTCTTAAGCCTCTCTAAACCTCTTCGGGCTGCATGCTTCAGGTCAAAGTTAATAAATAAAGATTAGGGATTTGGGGTTCAGATTTAGGATTTCGCGAACAGGCTTTGATGCCTCTGACCCTGAAGCTGTTGACACCGGGTCGTCTGTGCTTTTGGAGAGAGAAACTTCTAAATTCATAAAGCAGAAAAGAAAGACACCGTGTTTTCAGCAGGCCCAGCATCGTACATGCTCCAGCTGGTCGGCATCTTCACTCGCTGCTGGCCACCTCGTTCTCCAACTATCTTACATCATGAATCATTAGTCGACGAAATCTTCAACAACCACCCCCCAAAATACCAAACTACGGAAATGCTGCCGGGCAAAGCAGGGACAGGGCTCTGCGTCTAGGGCTGCAAGAGGCTAGATGTTTTGAACGTATGAAGGCTGATCTTTACTTGGGGAGGACAGGGGTGCATCTACAAAGAACCGACGTGTAACAGTCGTTTGCAGACGTACTTGAAACCTACCCTAAACCCTAAACCC